TATATGCAAATATAAATTTTTCACTTCGCTGATTGAGGTTATATTCACCACCCAAACTCCAAAGTTTAATCAGTCAGTTTGCGCCATGCGTGATACACGCTTAGGCAATCATTTGTCTTTCGATACATGACTGACGATGCAGATTTTTTCCGTTTGCCAGTTCTTTCTGCGGAATACCAGTTGCTATCCAAGGCTATAGAAACCGGTCTGTCCTGCTATTTACGTAAGTGAATGTAATGGATTCGACTAGAATTCGAACTCGGCTCTCCGATTCCTCAATCCGAGCCGCTATCCATTACTCCACTCTGCTTTCTTTAAAGTTTAATAGGCGTGCCTTTTTGTAATCATTCGGTCCACATATTAATGGTGGTCTACAGTCAAAATATGCTACATTCTTTATTCCCAGCAATGGATGATTTATTCGTTTTCTACGACACGTTGCAGTTTATTTATAGCTAGAAAATATTTTTAGAAATATTTTGGGAGATGATAATGATTTAATGGTACAATACAATGTTTTTTTTTTTTTTCGGGTGAATACAATGTCTTCAATTCTAAGTTCAGTCGATATCTATCCTACATACCCCGCCCCTAATTTGTACTTGCCTCCTCCTCTTGCGTTGATACAACAATCTTATTCAGTAACCCACTACCGTCTTGAATGGTTCTTGGTCCTTGTATTGAAAAAACTTTTAGTAAACAATCTTTTATCATCAACATATGACATGCTCAGCGTAGTTGTATCTTGTGAAGTATCACGCAATAAATTTTGTAATTTTGAGCGGTTTAGTTTTAATAAGGAAATTATTTCAGTGTACACAGAAGTTCCAGGCGGTGTAGATGGAAAAGTTCAATTAAATTTAAGAGACATTGGTTGATGTTCCAAGCTTCGACTCAGTGTAAGTCGATTGTGAGCACTATAGCTATGTAGATATTTTGGCAATTTTGTAATTTTGAGGACTTTGGTTTTAGTAGAGGGAAGGTCCTTTAGTATACACAGAAATTCGAGGAAGCTCAGATGGAAAAGATCAATAAAGATTAAGAGACATCGGTAGACTTCATGTAAGGAAGTGGTTTTCATTTTTGTTTCCATTTTCTCTAAACTTCGGTCTGTGGTATTCTCATCATCCTTCTGTAGAATCAAATATATATTGCCGCATGATAGCTGTGTAGACTCTTTCTGGCATTTATCCAGGCGGCATGGTTTTACAGAGGGTTAAAGGATTTGTTTACATTAGAGCTTTTGTTGTAAAGCTTTTTGCCTATTTTAATTATTTACCCGGCAGTGGTACGGTGGAGTAATGGATAGTGGCTCGGATTGTGAAATCGGCAGAGCCGAGTTCAAATTCCAGTCGGATCCATTACATTCACTTACGTGCTAATACCCGTAGGAAAGGTATGAATCCTTGTCTTCTCCCACCAGGTTCTGTAGCCTTTGATGGCAACTGGTTTTCCGCAGAAAGAAATGGCAACCTACTACGAGAAAAAATCTGCCTAGTCAGTCATGATTCGAAAGATACATGATCGCCTAAGCGTGTATCACGCATGGCACAGAAAAAAAATGCGACGGTTTTTTAAGTAAAACTACTGACTCAATATTGAATTCGATTCCTCAAATTTCAGCTGCCTGTTTCTTATTTAACGTATAAGTGTCCTTTTTTCCATTGAATTGAAAACACCATCATTGAAAAAGGAAATTGAACAGTGTTCATAACAATTGTGTGTATAAGCCTACTTATTTATAAAAACAATGCAAAAATGTAAGATATGATGTTAGTGGCTTTTAGCTATCGAATTTACAGAAAGAGAAGATGGCAATTAATTTCACGGCCACTAGCCAAATTCTGCTTCTGAACCCACCGAGAACTCGATGGTCTAAGCGTCACAAGGCGTAGAGTCAGCGACTCAGAAAACGTGTACTGATCCTTGTCCAATCATTTACCACAATTCATTAAGTTCTCTCTGTTTCTAGACGGAAGCATTTATGTCCAAGAATTATTAACATTTCAATAAACACTGATTGTTTTAGAATAACTGAGCCAGCAATTGACTCTTTATCCAGTCACTGGTCGCTAGTAAATATCAGAGGTAACAAAGCTTATATTTGTAATCGGTTTCGGCTTCTCTCGGAGTAAACGTAAGCGATCATGGCTCTTCACAGCATCCTACACCTTGTATCTATATCCAGTTTTTGCCCCTTCGCTAAATCTTCTACACCTCGTCCCGCCATCCATTCACAGAAGCTTGACAAATAGGCTGTCCCATTTGACTTCGATATGCCTTATGAGTGTCAATCTCTCCAAGCTGTCCTTTCTCATTATGTGTTTGAGAGATTTCAGCTGTCTCTGGGATTCTGAGTATAAGCGCTCTTTTTGTTTCCATTTTCATTTTTTATTGCGTACGCTCTTTGTCCGCGATATTCTCAGCATCCTTCTGTAGAGCCATATATCTATTACCTCAAGTAATTTCTTCATCTTTGAGAACATTGTTCAATATTTACTGCTATATAAGATGATCGATATTACATAACATTTCTTTTCTTTGTTTCTAACGAAATTCTCCTGTTTCTTTACTTAGCTTCTGAAAGGCATCTTTTGCTATTCCAATGCATCTACGAATTTCGCCCACATTTCTCATCCTCTGTGGAAACATTTCGCTGATATTTAAATTTCTGTACTTGTTTGAGGCTGAGATCTCTGATTTGCGTCTTGTGCTTTTTTTTTTTTTTTTTGCTGACAACTGTGCATACTGTTTTATTACAGTCCTTTCTTCTCTCTTTCCTTTACTACATTCTCTAGATCCTGCAGTTTTCCTAACTAGATGCTTTAAATAAGGAATATTTGTACATATTAAAAATCGATAGACAACCACGTGATACACTTATCGAAGCATAGAGCAACTCGTACTCATATCTAGCATTTGTATCACAAGTAACGAAACTACAACTAATAACACAAGATCAATATGATTAGATAATACACTAATACAATATACACAAATACTAGACTCGTTGTAAGGAAAGACTCAGAATACCTGAAGCTATTTTAATATTTAAGAAACAACCCGAACTACATAAAATATCCAAATGATTGTGGTCAGGTAAACGTGTAAGCCACGGAAACGATCCTCCCCTACCTATCCATCTTTCATGGCAGATATCAGCCAGAGCATCTTAAACAATGTGCTGGGGCCCTATTATGCATGAACCACATACGTCTTCGTATTAGCAGGGGTGCATCCTCTAGCAGGTCTGGAAGAGTCTTCCAAATAGAGTGCCTGTAGACAGCGTCTGTAAGATGTGCTGGTAGAACATATGGACCTACCAGACAGTCATCTACAATTCCAGCCCACATATTAATCGCAAACTGACGCTTTCTGGCCACTCGTATTCGAGGCTACCTGTCTACTAGGACGGCTACACAATCCCTATTGCAGACGCTCACTCAGGCACATTTTTGTTTATTCAACACCCAAGAGCCCACCTGTGGTTTTATACTTCAACTTTGCTGAGCAGTTACAGTTTCTGGGAGAGAGCGAGTTATCTAGCGTGATCAACAATTTGAACAAGGCCAGCACACTCAAACCCTCGGTCACGATGACTTTTGACTTCGTGCTAGCACAGTTATCGACGGCCCCAAGTGTTCAAGAAATGTTAATAGAAAAAAATATGCTCTCCAGCAGGTTTCGAACCTGAGTCTCCCTTTGCTGGAGAAACCACCTCTGATTCGACGTGCTCTACCATTCAGCTACAGAGAGATTCGTAATGAAGCGGTGTGTGTGCATATGTGCATATGTGTGTATGTGTGTGTGTGTGTAGTGAGTGATATTATATTCCATCGGGAACCATCAGAGTAGAAGTGCCGACCAAGAAATTTAATCTGACGCTATGACGTCAAAAGAACATCAGGTGCCCGATTAAATCATTTCTACAGCGATTAGGAAAATGAATAAATATCTGCGCAATGCAAAACGTTTCCTCTTTATTAAGAGCTAAACAAACATATCTTTCTTTCTTCCTCGATGACTCACTTATATTGTATGCCATCGGTTTAATTACTAACAACCTTACATTTCTCGAACTTGTCATGTAATTAGCGACCCTCCATTGGTCTCTTGTCATTCATCTGAAAACTTGACCCCCGATTACAGTATGTAATTATCTATCAGAGTCTGATTACTGACGATGGGTTAATTACTGATGGCCGGCGGAGTTCAGTGACCGCTGGTTATATAGAAAAGACAAAATATTAGACTAATGAGAAGCGGCGACACAAATGCTCAGCTTCAGTCGAATTTGGACCGGACGAATTGAAATCTAAAAAGAGTAACAACAAAAATACTGAAAAGAAGAAAGAGGGGAAAAGAAAACATATTGGGTTGGTGCATAATTATCAGGCGTTTTTGTAGGCGAGTTATTTAATAAAAGTTGCTGTTTTTTTTTTTTTCTTTACTTTATTTTAATAAAAAAATATTATTTTATTTTCCTTATAAAAATGCGTTTCGGTAATCATACACTCCGAAATAATCATCTAAAACTATTATTGTTGAATTGTTATGTTTCTTTTTTCATAATAAATATTGTTTTAAAAAACGCCTGATAATTATGCACCAACCCAATATTTTACAAATACATTTTTAATCAATTCACTATAGCACAAGGGGATTCTGGGAGTGAAAGAGAATAGAAAAACTTTAGAAGGCACCGGAAGCCCAGTCCTTAACAGGAAACAAGAGATAAACCTCTGCTCTTGTTCAAAAGACCAGGGATGTGTCTGAACCGGACGATAGATGAACCTCTCTGTTCGTATTAAATTACTTCCGGAATCAATAGCAATTATATCACCTAGAGCGTTTTTTTTCTTCTTTTTCTTTTTTTTTTTTTTTCACATTCTTTTTTATTCTTTGTTTTTTTTTCTTTTTCTTCATTCTTTCTTGCTATTTCGTTCATTCTTTCGCTTGTTCGATTTTAATTTGATCTTTTTCATTTTATTTTTTTTCCCGATATTTATCTGCCTCTCCTTATCATTATTTCATTTCCATGTATTTACTTTTTCTCTTTTGTATTTTGTTCTCTTTTCTCTTCGTTTCCTCTTTCTTTATTCACCATTTATTGTAAACTCGCCATCTTCGCTCGCTATGGCCTCGCAACGTAAGATATATTCACTACTTGAAATCTTTGATACAAAAATTTTAAATGAACATTTCATTCATAAATTGGCTTGCATTATATAAGACGATATTCCTAAAGAGAAGTATTTTTGATATCAAAATCAAAACAATCCTCGAATAAAAGAACAGTAATGAAGCACAGTTAATTAATGAAATAAACTTTTTAAAAATCAATATGAAAATTAGTTAAACCTGAAGAGTGATATTGCCTAGAAGAAGATAGTAAATGATACAAATATTGAGCGTTCAGTTCGCAAATTACACTTTATGAGTAGGTACACGTCTACTTATCTCTCAGTTGCGTCTGTCTTTGGACAGAGTCGCAACTGAGGAAAATTATACTGGAGAGGTGCACAGCCTTCCATTGCACTAGAAAGAAGAATCGGTGCACGCGCCGATGCCAGCGCAACCGACGGTTGCCGGGGCCCGGTGAATTTTTGTTCCTTGCCCGGGTGTACGCACTCGGGCTCCCCACATTAAATCGACCTTGTGTCACAACCTGACCTCGCGGGGGGGGGGAGTAAATATCCACTTTTTGAGTAGGTACACATCTATTTATCATCTCTCAGTTGCGTCTCTGTCCTTGGACAGAGTGCTCTCAGGGGCTTCTCTGTCAAAGGACAGACGGGCAACTAAGGAAAATTAAACTGAAGAGGTGCCTGGCCCTGGGGGACAGCTGCCCGAGCCCGCCCCTTTTCATTGCACGAAAGAGAAGCATCAATGCACGCACCGAGGCCGGAGCAACCGACGGCTGCAGGGGCTTGGTGAATTTTTTTCTTTGCCCGGGTGCACGCGCTCGGGCTCCCCACGTTAAACCGACCTTGTGTCACAACATGACCTCGTGGGGGGGGGGGTGAGTAAATACAAATTACTCTTTTTGTGTAATTTCACGTCTACTTATTATCTCTGAGTTGCGTCTCTGTTTTGGGGCAGGGTATACTCAGGGGCAAATCCATCAGAGTTGCAACTGAGGAAAATTATACTGAGAGGTGCCGGCCCTGAGGAACAGCTGCTTGAGGCCGCGCCCTCCCATTGCACCAAAGGGAAAATCGGTGCTCGCACTGGGGACAGCGCAACCGATGGTTGCCATGGCTGAGTGGAATTTTTGTTCCTGTCCCGGGTGTACTCGCTCGGGTCCCAACCTAAAAAATAGACCTTGTGTCACATTTCTTCCATGTGGCGCTGCAGAGTAATTACCGTGTGTGAATTACTATCAACTGGAGTTGGGGCTTTTTTTTATTCTCAGAATTCGTGGGAGAATTGAGCTCCAATTTCGCTTTTATTCATATAGATTCCATAATATAGGTTTTACTTAATTAGCTATTATGTTTCTCTAACTCTTCAAATGTTGAATGTATAACTCACCCAAATTTCTATTTTCCCATCTTTACACTATAGTAATTTTATCTTGTAAATTGTCCCCTGTTTTGTCATGAAGTAAAAATAATTGTACGGAAAATAAGGAAGGAATACATCAAACCGTCTTTAAATTAAGTAGCAGGAGAAGAATTATCGTTGAACTTTTAAAACGTAACCTTAAACATTAATTCCATACTTAAATGCAGCGATCACTTTTGAGTTCTTCTGTAGTTTATTGACGTCTATTGGAGCTACTCCTCTCTGGCTAATATGATGATGGCCAAACCAAGAGTCCTCCACGGGAGCTAGCTTACATGCCACCCGACACGGCGGCATTTAAGCTAATTAAAAGAAAAAACTTTTTACTTTTTTTTCATGATTTTACATTCCGTCTTCTTTTCTTTCATTCCACTTCTTACTCTCTCTCCCCCCTCTCTCTCTTTCTTTCTTTCATCGTTCAATGATTTTACATGCCGTCTTCTTTCCTTTCATTTTAATTCTTACTCTCTCTCTCTCTCTCTCTCTCTCTCTCTTTCTTTCATCGTTCAATGATTTTACATGTCTTCTTTCTTTTCATTTTAATTCTTACTCTCTCTCTCTCTTTCTTTCTTTCATCGTACAATGATTTTACATGCCGTCTTCTTTCCTTTCATTTTAATTCTTAATATCTCTCTCTCTCTCTCTCTCTCTCTTTCTTTCATCGTACAATGATTTTACATGCCGTCTTCTTTCCTTTCATTTTAATTCTTACACTCTCTCTCTCTTTCTCTCTCTCTCTCTCTCTCTCTCTCTCTCTCTCTCTCTCTCTCTTTCACATACAAAAATGTTTTATTTTATAGCTTACCAACCGTTTCTAGCTAATTTAAAGCCATAACTTATTTTGGATTGTAAGAATAATTCTTTTGTGGGGCACTGAATATTGCATTACCTATGATTTTACATTGATATATAAATCCTATTATTTAACCCATAGCTTGGGAGAGAAGATAATGAATCATACATTTCTCCGTGATATTTACACTTAAGTGAATTTCACGAACTCAACTGGATTTCAAACTTGTCTCTCTGTGTTCTCATTCCGCTGATTTCAACGGAGTTATGTTCATAGTCTTTTATCTTTAGAGATCCCTTTACCTAATGTATCAATGGCAGCTCAATGATTTCATATTTTTCATTCAATTTAACTCTATCTTTGCCGTTCATTTTATAACAAGCGCAACTCAGTATATTAATCTTTCTTTTTTGTTATCTTGCTTAACATTCCGATTTCATAATCATTGTTAATATTTTATGAGATCAGCTTACTACAACACCAAGTCACAAGGGATGATTGCAAGAAAACAGCGAGTTGAAAGAGTTTTCGCGCCAATCTCCCGAGTGAAGCGGTACTCGTGTGAAAAGTGGCATCTGAAAAACGTAGATATTTTCCTCGGGTTGAACAAGAACTCCTATCAGTTGTTGTAGATATCCTGTTGCAGCCATAAAGCAGATCTAGCAATATAAAAGGCTTCGGTTCTGGTGGGGAAACAACGATCATGGAATTCTCTACAATAAGAAATTAATCTGCGAAATGAACTTGATAACCTTTTTCTTTATAGTAAGCTTCATTTTTATCTCGTTTATCAAAAGATTCAAGCTAATTACCCTATACAACTGCAGATCATTAGTAAGAAATACATCTTCATTAGTTCAGTTTATTTTTCTTTCTCGCAACACGCACACAAACACACACACACACACACACACACACACACACACATATATATATATATATATATATATATATATATATATATATATTAATTTATATTAACAATAAATATACAATTTTCCTCCCTGGTAGTACGATGAAATGGTCACGTGCTGAATGAATATTGACCGTTGCGTAATTTAAATATTGATATTTATACCATATTATAATGAGAATGGAACAGTCCATTTATTTTCGTGGTGGGAAGGTAATAAAATTATATATATATTTTCGACGGATTTGCACCAAAATTTGCATGCTCCAAGTTAGCGGGAAGGCCAAGACCGACTTTGCATTTCCCAACTCCCATCGATAGTGGAAATAATCGATTTTTTCATGCTTCTACGGCAGTTTTCATGTAGTTTGCGGCCATTTTCTACTGGGCCGAGTGAGATCCAATAGCTGGCTGCCACGAATAGGCCGGAAGATTCTATTGGCCAGCGTGAGGGCAAATAGCTGACTGACACGAATGTTAACTAGCATGCTAGCATGCAAAAAATCGATAGCTGCATTCGTTACAAGTGGGAAAAAATTAAATCTGCATGACACTTTACTCCAATTGGCTCATTCGCTTGCTTAAACTCAACGTTGATTCTGATTCGGCAGAACAGGGTTAGTGTGAAAAAGTGCTTATTGTTAACATTCTTTTTTCATTCGGTTTTTCCTGTTACGAATCCTTTTTTAAAGCTGATCGTTTTGTGTTCATTTTGTTTAGTTCTTTTTTCGTAACAGATTTAATGTTTAGTATAGAGCTTAGAATAAATGTTCAGTGCGAAATAGGCAAGAAGTAAGGCATGTTGCAACATCAGCACGGCAAAGGGCACTCCTTTAAAGGCCAGGAAGGGCAAAAATATTTTAAGTCAAGTGATAGCGATTGCTGTATGAGTCGTACGATTTTTGAATCAAGCACGGACAGCGCTGAGCCATGCTGCTCGTATATATACATATATATATATATATATATATATATATATATATATATATAATAACAAAGACTTGCACCTCATAATTTAAATATGCCAGAACGCATTCTCCTAAAGGTTTTTTTTTTCGTTCAACGGATTCGTTGGAACGACAATAACCAAACCGGCGGAACTATCTACATATATATATATATATATATATATATATATATATATAAATAGGCAGTTATATATATATATATATATATATATATATATATATATAAGTAGGCAGTTAGATATATATATATATAAGTAGGCAGTTATATATATATATATATATATATAAGTCAGCAGTTATATATATATATATATAAGTGAACAGTTATATATATATATATATATATATATATATATATATATAAAAGTAGTAATTATATATATATATATAAGTATGCAGTTATATATATATATATAATCAACCCAAATAATCACAAATTAAAAACTGTTCCTGCCAAAATAGTTAGAATAAACTATAACAACCAACCCCAAAACCGAACAAATAGCTTCAATTAAATTCTCAAACCAAAATAAAACTATTAAATAAGTGATATAAACAAATTTTTACTACGTTAATAAAAACACCCAAAAAAGTAAATAAATAAATAAAATAAGAAACAAAAAGTAAAATTAATTAAAAACAAGTAAAATAATATAACCCAAATAAATAAATAAACGACTTCCGGTAAAATAATCGCCATAATAGACTACCCACAATGTACCACAACGTATATGTATAAATAGCCGAGAAAAATAACAGCACACGTGGCCTGACGATTGCATATAGCATGAAAGAGACTGTCGCCTCTAAGTGTTGACTTCTATATTCACTTTTATATATATATATATATATATATATATATATATATATATATATATATATATATATATATATATATTACATACCGTATATATACTGAGTATAGTGCGACTTTTATGTATTTTAAGAAAAACTCATAAAAGTCTCAGTCTGAAAATAACAGAGTCCCGCAACATATACAGGTAATTTTTTTTAATGAAGTTAAGAATCGTTCATTTTCGGTGAAAAGTACACGAGTGTATACTGAACATCGGGGCGGTGAAATTTCATGTAAATTATTCAGGGTTCGCACTATACATGAGTAAATACGATATTTGTTAAATTATTTCGAAAAACAGCTATATTCGTTTCTCGGATTGTGTGTATGCTCATCATAATATACATTTGTCCTACCGGTCTTATATTAGTGAATCACGAGTTGCAAAAGACGGGCGAATCGTCGAAGTGTGAGTGGCTACTAATCTTCAGCTTTCGTCTTATCCTGCAAACGGTCTCTGAATAAATATAGCGGGTGTTCTGTTTTTTTTCCCCCTTTAAGCGAACATTAAACGTATATTTTATTACTCGTGTGATATGGATCGATATCTGTTTCGGTATTAGGTCAGAAACAGCATTTTCCCAATGATTGATTGTCTAATCGATACAAGTATTAATCTTTTGGCATTTCCAGAGAACGCTTATATAAGCATACTATCTGTAGCTGACATTTTACTACGCACATCAGAAGAATATTTACCACCAGAACTATTACCCAAACCCCGAAAAATGACCACAGGTTTTTAGTTGATTTTGTTTTGTTTTGTTTTTTGTTTTTTTGTTTTTTTTAGCATTTCACCGCAAGACGCAAGGGGTTGCTGAAAGTGAAAGAATATGAGTTAAAAACACTATTAAAGAGAGTGATAACATTAAAAGAACAGGGAAACAACGATTGACATTGCATTTAAACTTTTGAAGATCAACGTTGATTGGGAAGTAAAAAACCGGAAGTGAGTTCCACATGTGAGAAGTGTGAGAGAAGAAACTGTTAACATAGAACTTACGGTTACATCTAGCCATTTCAAATGTAAAATGATAAAACCTTGCTACCAATACTGCGCTTATATGCATAAATTCTAGATACTGTAGAGAAAAGTTCATCAGAGCAATGACCATGAAATTCTTCTTACAGAAGGCAGAGGGGAGCTGCTTGACGGCAATAAGTAAGTAACTGAAGCTGAGATGCTAGTTCAGAACCGATAAGATGGCAGATTCTTCTAAGTTTTTAAAGAATAGAAATACAGAACGGTATTTCCAAGAAGTAGGTTTGGTTTGGTTTATTTTGTTTTACGGCATATCAACACCTCAATGGGTTATTTAATACCGACAAAATTTTTATTGCTGCTAATATTTTGTTATGTCAAAAATCTATTTCTGCTAATATTTTTTCCTTCAGAAATCTAATTCTAGTAATATTTTTGTTTGGTTTGTTTTGTTTTGTGGTATATTAACCTCAATGCGTTATTTAATGCTGACATGATTTTTATTATTATTTTATGTAATATTTTCTTTTTTCAAATATTTATTGCTGATACTATTTTTTTTAAAGTATTTCTGGTATTAAAGTCTATTTTTACACTTTCATAGTGTTTTGAGTCAGTTTATGGGGTCAACTATTTGCCCATAGATGGGACCCTAAAAGGTGATACCACCCCGGGTCAGGGTGGACCTGAGAACACCAACAATTAAGAAGTGGTTCCACGCTACTCAAAACCTCCTGATCAGTGGCCTTGCTGTTGGACGTAGTTTATCGCTTTCCCAGGAAGCGAATGCAGTCTATCGCCATACCCAGGACGCAGATGTAGTTTATCGTCATACCCAGGACGCGGATGCAGTTTATCGTCATACCCAAGACGCGGATGCAGTTTATCGTCATACCCAGGACGCGGATGCAGTTTATCGTCATACCCACGACGCGGATGCAGTTTATCGTCATACCCAGGACACGGATGTGGATTATCGTCATACCCAGGACGCGGATGCA